CATGTATGGACACATTAATGCATATACTTGCGTGTGTGATGAAAAAGTCTAATTGATTGAGATGGAATTCAATGTTTATAGCCACTCATGATATGATGACTTCATGACTGCACCCATGCTTGCTCTCTGAGATTCAAAGCCTAGCTGATAAGGATACATGCATTGATTGAATTCCATTTTGTTCCTAGTCTTATCTGCGCATATTTGAATATTTCAATACCAAAGCTAACTAATTATTTGCAGTGACAAGCGCACAAATGCTTTAGCGATATTATTTACTCTAGTTTTAGCTCCTGCTACAACTCTCATAACTATTAAAATTTTATTTGATTTGAATGTTAATTTTAAAATCTTAAAAAAATAATTAATACTAATCTAAATATCTATAATTATTAGAAAAAATTATTTACTTGAGCAAAAAACCTTTTTTTATTTTAGGTATATAACAACTAAAAACACTAGGTATGGTGTTTTTAATATATATATACACACGCTGTAAATATTATTCATCCTATTACATTTTAGTATTTATTGAAGTAATAATTTTTTTTCCTGATCATCAAACTTCTTTTTTTTTGGATGACTTGATCTTTAAGAAGCCAAAATTAAAGGTGAGTTGCTTTGTATTAATTAATATGAGATAAAATTAAAAATAAGGGGACTTAAAACAAAAACATAAAAAAATAAGATAATCATTTTAAAATTTCCTCGAAAAATTGACTTTGATTCTGTTACTTAGCAATTTATCCATTTTTATTCTAATTTAGTTATTTTAAAAAATCCACTTTTGATCCAAATCTTCCTTTCTCTTATTTTCTATCCCTGGTTTCAGGTGAGGGAAAAAATCATTTGATTTCGATGGTAAAATAAAAATATTGATTAACACTGAACTCGATTACCATAATAATCAATACTGGTTCCAACAAGTTTCATTTGACGAGATTAGCTTTACTTCAGTGTTCCTTTATATTTAAATTACTTGAAGAATATATTTAACATTGAGAAGTTTTTGAGTTTCGAGTTGATTTTTTTTTTATTTTTGAACTATTTTTTGAAGTATTTGAAGGTATAAACATGCTTATTTAGATCTTCAGGGTGATTTTATTTTTGTGTGTTTCTCGATTAAAAAAAGTTGAGAAATAAATTTTTAGGGGTAAAACACCCATGCCTAGATTTTACATCAACCCTTAGGTCACTATAATCTTTCCATGGGTAGCTACACGTCTAGGTTTTTTTATCAAGGCCAAGGCACGGTGGGGTTTTTTTTAGGGTAATTTGTTTATATATATAATTTCATCTTTATATTTTGAGTTTTTGTTGGAAAAAAAATCTTGACTTCTTTTTTAATGTCATACTTCAATATTTGGTTTATTTTAGATTGATCTTCATGATTTATTTTGTTTTATTTTTTATGAAGTTATCGTAATTTCAAATAAATATTCTGTCATTTTGTTTGTGCGATTTAGGGAACATCTATGTGTGTTGTTGTTTTTTTTATAATCCAAATTGTTTTTAGACTTACTAAGTCAACTGGGTTAAATCAAGTTAATCCCTAAACTATTTAATTTTTTTATACTAGAGAACATGTTAGCAACACCTACCTTTTTTGTGTTAAAAGAAATTAATCACATTCACATAGTAGCGTGGGTGACAATCTATTTTTTCTCTATGCTAAAATAATTGGGTTGCAATGTCAAATGATAATCTCAATCCAAAAGTTTAAATTGTTAGATGAGGTTTAAAGAATAGTTTTATATTATTTTCTAATACTCTCCTTTAAGTGAAAATTATTTAGAATTAAAACTTGTATATGTCCATACTATCTTACACTTAATTTTTATTAATTAGAAAGAGGTGATAGAATTTGAACTCATAACCACTTGGTCAGTAAGTTTTTAATATCATATTAAAAAACCATCTTAATCTAATATTCAAGCTATTATATAAGATTTCAAAAATAGTTTTATATTATTCTCTCACACACAATGCATGTACTTTACTGTAAAAATGAATAACGTTATAATTACTCATTTTAAACAGTAAAGTAGGTGCTATATACTCATTTTCTCACTCTATTTTTTATTTATTTATTTATTGTTAGAGTTTTTTAAAATTGTTTAGTATTGTGGTAATGATTGTTTTTTTTATAATGCTTTTTGCTTGAAATTTTTTTAAAATAATTATTTTTTATTTTTTTAAAATTTATTTTTGACATTAACATATTAAAATAATTTTAAAATATAAAAAAATAATTTAAAATAAAATAAAATAAAAAATAGATGTTTTAAAAAAAAAGCATCTGATAATATTATTAATCGCAATTCCAAATAGTAATTACACCTGTATTTCAACGGTAAAATGCAATGATTACTTTTTTCTCATTGTTTTTTTTTTTTTAGCAAGATGTCAAATCACAAGACCACCATATCTAAGCATATAAACACCCCCACCGTAGATATAAAATATATATCTAATAACGGATTGCCTGTATCTTATAATTGAGAGTAGCTCGTTATAATATTAATTTACTTAGGAGATAACTTAATTAATCATACAAATAAAGCATCGCTAAAATCCTAGCCCCCTCGGTACTGTATTTCTGATGTTTTCTGAACCTTTTTTTTTTTAAATTGATGGTTTTTTACTGTACTTCAAATTAAATATGTCAAAATTCATTAAAAACATTTTAACAGAATTAATTAATTTTAACCCAAAATCATTTTGGAAAAGTATTGGGAACGGGTTCTCAGAACTTCTGTAGCAAAATAAATACTCAGATTAATTTTTTTTTCTTAATTCACATAATTGAAACAAGCATTTAATCACAACTTCGTCCTCTCACGGGATTTTTAGGAGTGAAAGGATAAAAACAGCATGCTCTTTTATTATAATTTCTTTGATATGCAAAAACAGGATTACCCGTGGAATTCTGGCTTCTTTCCACTCATGAGCTGATATATATAGTCCTATGAAGTAGGGGGATGAGGGCTTCAAAATTAAATCCAATCCATATTTTTCACTCAGCTGTTGATCTCAAATATTTGCCATCCATGAAAACATGGTATGTGTTTGAGAAATTATGATTCATCAACGTTGTGAAGGGTTTTGTTTATTTTTTATTAACAAAAAGAGAATATTTATTAATTTTATATCAATTTAATATTAATAAAATCAATGTATTTTTAATATAAAATGAGCGATTAAAGTGCAATAACATCTCCAGAGGAAGAAATTGATAATGCTGACCAACTGATGCCAACAAGGTTAACGATCAGGCTTGTAGTATGACCAGAGTTCATCTTTTAATGCTTCCAGATAGTGTAACAAAAATGCAACAATTATTGAGAGATTTTCTGATGTCTCGAGCTGGTGGAAGCCAACCCAGATGGATTTTCAAAACACTGCTTGGAAAATACAAAAGGAAAATTAATGTCTCGAGAGGGATCAATACATGTTGCAGATCAAATCTTGATGATGGTCATCTTGTATCTGCAACGTATGGCTTAATAAAACTATATAAAATATATAATTGTTTATAGATTGGTGGTGTCGGAATCTAATTCCCCTATCTAATCAATGTTTGGTACAATATCATCTTTAACTCATTTTCATGCAAAAAGCAACTCTTCTTGTATAGATACATAGTTGGAAAGGAAGCTTGTTTTGCAGCTTTTGCCACCCATTATTTTGTTCCCTACTTGTCACCTCTCTTCCCCACACACCCTCCTTCCTCTAAATCGTATATAATAATCATATAAAACATCGAATTAAAGATTTCTTAACCCTTTCCGAGCCAGTAATTAATTAATACTGTTAAATATTCATATGTAAAGTATGGAAGCTGTAAATGGATATCAAGAAGCTGACAAATCTCACTCGAAAAGGGTTTCACGTGCTTATCTCGGTGAAGAATATTCTTTCTTGAGGCTGGATTGCAAATTATTTGTTTCAAGACAGCTCAACTTGGTGGTTAATCAAATATTTTAACAGCTGCTAATTAGTTTTATTGAGTGAAGTTTTAAACATTGAAAAAATAAATAAAAATAGTGGTCCATCCTGCATTATCTTCTGCGCCAAAATTTCATGGTGCTTTCACACGAAAGCAAAGACGCAAGATCAATGTGAGACCCATGCATGACCTCAATTATGATCCTCTCAGAGCTGGCTGCTTCGATCCTTCCTAAATTATTTTTCTATACGCAATTATATTTAAATATCGACAATAGAAACCATAATTCGGATGATATTCATAGCTAAAATTGATTTTTTTTTTATTTTAACCAGAATTTGACCAGCTATAATTTAATTTATAATTGGAAATTAATTAATCCTTAATAACTATATTGATGCATCTAATATTTGTCCAGAGAAGTCTTGATGATGGAGGAACTCAACTTGTTTTTCCGGTAAAAGAATCAATGGTCCATGATACCCAGCTCTGCATTTTATTTAAACCTGCTGGGCCATGACAAGGCCGACCAACTGGTCCGTTTCATACGTTGACGGGTTCAGTGAAAAAAAAAAGGCTTTGAAAGCTGACAACTCGACATGTCTAGTAACAAAACGACCCCGTAGTTGTTTATTTTATTTAAAAGATTTGAATTGAAAGAAGATTTCCAGATGAACGTAAGAGGATATCAAGTTATATTGATATATGATAAAGAGCTGTACAGACCGATATGGGGTTTTTCCTCGCAAAGAAATGAAGACAAACAACGAGGAACAAACCTTTTCACAACCTCAATCCTAACAATATTGTTTTTAGTTTTTTGGCAATCATATTCCTGGAACACTTATTTTTTTTAATGCCAAATCTATATTTGAATTTATCTTTTTGTTGTTTATGTTTCACCATGTACCGAAGCTATAATATATGAAACAATATTTTGTTTTTTCATGTAATTATGAAGGGATTGTTAACAGGGCGGGAAAAAGGTGTTTTTTTTTTCTTTTTCCTATCATGTTCTCGATAAACAGGGAGCCTAGACGGTTGTGTATAACCTACCCAAACCTGTTGTCGTGACAATGGACCTGGAGACTCAGCCCATCTACAGCATCAATCAAGATCTAAAGCAACCCCATGTATACAGCATGAAGGTTTTTACCACAACTTTAGAGAAGATGGGCTTGGGACAAAGCTAAACAGGACCCAGAACTCCGTTAGCCTGACCATGCTGATAACTAGTGATCTCGTCTGAAAAGCTTAAAGGGAGAGGGGGCACCTAATAAGTACCCCGAAGGTGAGGCATCGACAGTGACTGTAGAAGCAGATTCAGGTAAGCCTTCTTGTTTTTGTTTGCTTATCTGGTGCTGATTTGGGCATTATAATATCTCTCTTCTTCTTGTTTTTGTGTGTGTTTTCTTTAGTTTTCAACGTATGGTTTATTAATTATTATATGCTATCTGTTGCTTGGAAAACAAATTTCTGTGCCTAAAAGCTCATATCAATTTGATATTAGCTAAGAATTATCCACAGTCAATTTACTTTCAGGGGAGTTAATTATTAATTGGCATTTGTGTTACAGATGCGAAAAGGTTGATTGGTAGGAGGTTTATTGATGTTTCCGTTCAGAGTGGTATTCGGCTATGGCCTTTCAAGGTCGTTTCTGGTCCCAATGACAAGCTCATGATTGTGGTCAATTACAACGGGGAAGAGAAGCGTTTTACTGCTAAGAAATATCCCTTCAAAGATCCTTGTAAAGATGCGTGAGATTGCCGAGGCTTGCCTTGGCGCCACTGTGAAGAATGCTGTGGTCACAGTCCCTGCCTGCTTCAGTTACTCGCAACGGCATGCCACAAAGGAAGCTGATGCACTTGCTGGTCTGAATGTTTTGCGTACCGTCAATGGACCCATTGTCGATGCCATGGCTTACGGTTTTGATATGAATACAGTTGATTTTAGTGAGAAGCAAGTGTTGATTTTTTATTTGCGTGGTGGTACTTGTGATGTGTTGCTGCTTACAGATGCAGATGAATTGGAGCGCAGGATGAAGAAGCTTGAGCATGTGTGCACTCCCATCCTTGCTGTGATTTATCTGGCAGTTTGTGCTGACATGCACATTGGGCAGTGATGTTAATTTATCCTGGTGATGGCAATGACACAGGTCCAATCATTGATGAAATCGACAAGCTTTCTTTCGATGATTAGAATATGGTGATGGTGAAATGTTGCTATTTTGTTCAAAGGTGATTTTTTTACTGTCTTTTACAGATTATACATTTCAATATGGTTGTGCTGCAGATGCATTTTTTCTGGTTTTGCTTCATTGTCTTCGGCTTTTTCTAAGATTAGCTCATTGCTTGTTTGTTTGATAACACTGTCAAGACCACAAGTTGCAGATTCTTATACAGAGAGCTTAGTCAGAACAAGCTTATGGTTCCATTCATATACATCATAAATGAACAATCATCACATAAGTTTCCCAAAGTCCTTGTGCAAGCACCAAAATTGACCGTATCAGTTTTTGTGCTAGAGGTAAAAATTTAGTACTATATTATCGAATTCCGTGCGTTTTACATTCAAGTCAATGGTGACCTGATCTCAAACTCAAGTCTCACCCGAAATTGTCCCGATCCTTTTTATCTGGTATTCTTTTTGTACATACTTCTTTCCAATAATGGCAGGAACAAGGTGAGGGCCAGAAATTGGAATCAATCCCAGGACGATGTACTTGTGATGAGATAATACCAAATGGTCAAGGCAACAGAATGACACCATCTTGTGATGCCCTCACCTACACGGATCACTTAATTGGTGATGCTGACAAGAATCTGTGCCTCTTCAACCCCATTAACACCATCTTTGGTGAGTACTCAAGGAAAAGAAGGATAAACTTAGCACTCTGTTTTGTTCAGAGAATTTAATATTTTGAATCGCAAATATATTTTATTTCTTACGCCTATGTTTTTTCTTGCTTGTTAGGTTGGAACTTGTAAGGTAAATACTTCAAGTAAAGAAACTAAATTTTATGCTTAAAAGTTGTATCCTTTACCAAGTACCGGCTAAAGAATTATGTTTGAAAAAATTCCATCATTCCAGCATTTGGTGTTTTTGAGGGATTTTATTTATCAATTGGCATGTTATGTGCCACAGGTTCAAGAGGTGTTCCTCAGATTGAAATGTACCATTGACATTTAATTTAAATGATATCTTGAAGGTGGTAGTAAGGATGTTTTCCAGTGGTGCTATATTTTAAAAAATAATATAAATTATATTTTAAAATTTTATTTAATAATTTAAATTTTTAGGTTGAGATAGTTCTTTAATATGATATTAATATTTTAATGACTAAGTAATCATGAATTTAAATTTTATTATTCTTATTTATTTAATAAAAATCAAGCACAAAATAATATAGATTTATACAAATTTTAAATCTAAATAATAATATAAATTATATTTTAAAATATTATTTATAATTTAAACTTTTAAATTCTTTTAAATTGAGATGATTTTTTAAGATAAATGACAGGTGCGTTGTCCAAAGAAGACTCATAGAAGATGTTCCAGGAGACTGATGAGAAGCTCAAATCTGATGAAGCAGATGCTATTTTCTTCCAGGTGGTTTTTAACTGCCTTTTCTGTTTATATTCCAATATGGTTGTGCTACAACTTGCATGTTTTTTTTTTTTTTTGCCTTGTTGTCTTGACTTCTGCTGATCAGCTCATTGCTTGTTATTTGATTAAAGATTGTTTAGACCAGAATGAAGCAGGAACTGAAAAGTTAAAGCATCGGTATGATCTCACCACAACAGTCGAATTGCTACAATATATTGGATTTGGAATCACATCACTCTATGAGCTGCCATTTCTGGCATTTTTATTCAAATATGCACTGGTGCAGATGTGCAAGGATGTATATATGAAACTGCGATTTCATTCTGAAGAGATGACTGAATCTGTTGGACGTGAATTTTTTCCTAAAGTTGTCATAGAACTTGTAGGGTATGTTTCTTGTCAAGGCTTTCTGCATCCTTTGTGCTCTCAATGAAAGAATTCAACAAGCTGGTTTGGCTACTGAGGTAGAAATGATTGAAGCCGGATACTCTTCATGCCGGCGGAGTATTCACAGGGTACTGCAGAACATGAACTATCCCGCTCGTACGAAGTTGTATTGATGCAACAATTGACTTGACAAAAGTAAAGAAGCCATTTCTGTCGAAGAGTAGAGAGATGTTTGATATGAAAGATACCTAATCACATAAAATGAATGGCATCAACAATTAAAAAGAAAAAAAAATAGAGATATTTGATGGGCCCAGAAACCATTCAAAAAACAAAATCCATTTCGTGGTGTGAAAATCAAGAGTGAATTTATGGGCTTAAGAACTCAATTAGCAATAAACAGGCTTGAACCTATATTAGCAAGATGGCTTACCAAGGACCAACCCAACTTGAGCATGATAGAGCAAATGAAATGTCTAACGGTAACAACGTGAAATCCACGAGCGTTGAAAAGATTCTGGGGATTTCGATCCCCCTTGTAGGGTTGCGGAAAACCCACTCCTGATTCCTTATTTACTTTTTCCTAACAGTAAAGCAGAAATGGAAGAATGATGAGGTCTACAGACGCACAGCAATTGCAATGACCGTAGGATGGTGGCGATAGCAGTGGCGGCTGTGAAAGCAAAAGACGGGACCTCTACTTGTTCTGTCATATCCAGTTCAGTTACCAAATGCACCCATGTGGTGTTAAAACGATTGGGTTTGATATGGGAACAACGTTTTCTTGCATTGGTGTTTGGCAACTCGGAAGAGTTGAGATCATCCTAAATGATCACGGTAACAACATAGAGCGTTTGATTGCTGATGCTGCTAAGAACCACGTTGTTTCCAACTTTGTCAACACCATCTTCGGTTAGTATTCTTAAAAATAACTTTACATCATTCTTTTTAGATTTTAGATCATGTTATGCTCGTGTGGTTTATGTTTTTGCTTGCTGGTTTTGTGCAAGGATTCGTTGAAAAGTTTTGTTTCTTTCATGTTAGTTTATAGGGAAATTTTATGCTAAAAGAAAACAAGTTTTGTGCCTAAAGCTAGTATTGGTGATGGAATGCAGATGCAAGAAGATTAGTTGGGAGGCGATTTAGTGATGTTGTTGTTCAGAGTGATATTCAACACTGTCCATTCAAGGTTGTTGCTAGTCCGCTTGACAAGCCCATGATTGTGGTTAGTTACAAGAGTGAAAAGAGGCTTGTTGCTGAAGAAATTTCTGTAATGGTAATCCGAAAGATGCGTGAGGTTGCTGAAGCCTTCCTTGGCATCACTGTGAAGAATGCAATGGCTACTGTTCCTGCCTAATTTAATGACTCTCAACGGCAGGCTACAAAGGATGCTGGCACGATTGCTGGTTTTAATGTTATTCGTATTATCAATGAGCCCATTGATGGTGCCATGGCTTATGTCTTTGACATGGAAACAAACTATATTGGTGAGAACAGTGTGCTGATCATTGATTTGGGTGACGGTACTTTTCATCGAAGAGCATATAGTTGAAGTGCGAGGCACTACTGGAGACATCCACCTTCGAGATGATGACTTTGATAACGGATTGGTGAATCTCTCTGTTCAATAATTCAAAAGAAGGGGAAAAAGGACATCAGTGGAGATCCTCTGGCTCTTAAGCAGTTGAGAACTGTATGTGAGAGAGCCAAAAGGAGTCTCTCGTATTCTGCCCAAACAACATTGTGATCGATTCGTTTTATGAAGGTATAGACTTTTATTCCATTATATCTGGTGCAAGATTTGAGGAGCTGAACACAGATTTCTTTAGAAAGTATTTGCAGCTGGTAAACAAGTGTTTGAGGGATGGTAAAGTGAAACAGCATCGATGATGTTGTTCTTGTTAGTGATTCTAGTCGGATTCCCGAGGTGCAGCAGCTATTGCAATACTTTTACTATGGTAAGGACCTCTGCAAGAGCATCAATAGTTGCTTGCTTGCTTATGGTGCTGCTGTTCAGGCTTACTATCTTGAGTGATAAAAGCATTGAGGTGGTGGACGACATGCTGCTTTTAGATGTTTCACCTCTGTCCATTGGGTTGGAAATTGTTGGAGTTATGGATGTTTTCATCACAATGAACTCTATGGCTCTATGCTTCCCACACTAAAGGATGGTATATTCTCCACCTACTCAGATAATCAAACTACTGTCTTGATCAAGATTTGTGAGGGAGAGAGAACAAAAACTAGAGATGACAATTTACTGGGGACATTGAGCTCTCTGGTATTTCTCCAACACCCTGAAGTGTTCCTCGGATCAAAATAACCCTTGACATTGATGCATATGGTATCTTGAGTTTATCAGCTGAGGATGTGACCAGTGGTCAGAAGAAGACTATCACAATCTCCGATGACAGTGGCAGGTGGTCCAAAGAAGAAATTAAAAGGATGGTCTCAGAGGACGAAATGGAGCACATGAAGAGGGCGGAGGCAAAGAGTGAATTGGAGAATTATGCCTACAACATGAGAATAACTATTAGGGATGAGAAGAGAAGCTCAAAGCTGGCCACATGTGATGAGCAAGATTGAAGGTGCGATTGACCAGGCCATGAAATTGCAGGATGGCAACCAGCTCTCACGGAAATTAAGATGGTTTTGCTGACAAGATAAGGGAGCTTGAGAGCATCTGCAATCCAATCATCATAAAGATTTCCATGGATGATGGTGCTGGTATGGGTAGGTTGATGGAAGATGAATTTATTAGGATAAAAAATTCAAGTTGTCATGGAGCCAATTGCAGCAGATCTATGATTTCATTCTCGTTCAAGTCAAAGAACTAATCAGGATAATGGTATCTAGAAGTATTTCAGCACCTCACCAATCTATATTCTCAAACTCTGTTATCCATGTAATTCTCCATCAGTATGGGAATTATATCTTTTACAGTAATTTGAGTCCCACGGTTTGAAAAATCAAAGTTGCATGTATAGTACTAGTCACGCTATCCTACCTGGTTCAAGTTCAAATATACATAACATTTTACATGATTGCATACAGATGTGAAAGAAAGGAAGAAATAATTGATCTGGTGTTTAAAACACATTGATGACCAGGCCGTGACATAGCCTCCATGTCCTGGTGAAATGGAAAATCAATGGCCTAACATGCTATCTTGGATTACAGTTACGGCAGCTTTCTTCTTCAAACTAGCGCCACAGCGTTATTTACCTTTTGATCAGGCATAATTGCTGACGAAAACTGGGTTAGTTTTCAAAATGGCATTATGCTGTTGCAGCATGACTTCGAATAATGTAGAAATTAACTCAATAATTGCTAGTTTACAGGGATTATGACAGTTCTTAAGGATTCTCTGGCTCTAAGCTAATAGTGAAACGACCATATTGTAATAATACTCACCTAGGCTTTACCCCTGAACCAAATTACATCCTGAACTTAAAAAATTCCATACTTTCATCCTTAAACAAAATTAGTTTTGCAATGTGGTCCTTCCCGCTAGTCACATTTGGGTTCTGATAACTATATTAGGATGTTGTTTTTCCCACTCTACCAATCATGAGCCCATTCTACTGAATTGATAGTGTTGGAATCATTACAGCACAAAAAAGATTAGTAAAATATCAGCAGTAACGTGTCATTTGGTAAATTTCTTGTAACATGCTTCGCGCTTGAATTATTCAATTTTATATCCAAAAATTCTTTGAAAATTTAATCATCTCGAACTCTGTCTGTTTATATCTTTATTGCTAGATAATTCTCGAACCCAGGACAGCAGCCCACGTAATTTGTCTTCGCAGACAAACACGACGCCAAAATCACCATAAAGCCATCTCCCATGCAATTTCAAAGCAAGCCCCTAGTACTCGCATGTCTAGTGTTATTTTTAAATAAAAGCTTTTTGATGTCTTGGAGGACCATTTCGTTGTCAAAATTGATAGAATTCTAGAGTCGGTTGATGAGCACATTGCAACAGATTTATTCCTCGAGGGTGGAATTTTGAGAAGTTTTATCTTGAGGATAATTAATTTGATTCAGGACTAAAATTCATGGTGTATTGCGAGAATTAGGCTTTAGCTATGTCGTTAGCTTGTTCTACGCATTATAATCGGATAAAAAAAACAGAATGTGAAAAAAATAATTAGATATTACTAATGTATTTTCTACAAGAAAAAAAAAGAACATTTAACTCAAAATCTAATATATATTAAATAATATTTTTTAAAAATATTAAGATCATAGTGATTTTATAAAAAAATATATTATAACAAATTATAAATTTTAATTTTCGATCAATTAAGTATTAAAAGGAAAAATTAAAAAAATTAATTAAAAAAACTTGAGTTAACCTGAATTAACTTATTAAATTTGTGATTCAAATTATGAGATTGTGATGGTTTTATAGAAAACAGAAAAAAATACAAGGCTTGATTTATAATTGATATAGTATTGAAAAAAATAATTAAAAAATAACCTAATTAAAGAATAAAGTTAATTTGAATTAAGTCATCATGAGATCATAATAATTTTATAAAAAAAAAATTAATTAATTATAAAATTTAATTTTTAATAAATATAAAAAAATTATAATATAAATATAAAATTTAATTTTTAATAAATATAATAAAATTAAACAAAATCATAATATAAACAAAATGATAAAATAGTGAATTGATAATTATATATATATATATATATATAATAAAGAAAAAAACAAAGTCAAACCAATAAGTTGTGCACAAGGAAAGCACTTGATAATTTTTTTTAAAAAAGAAACACTATAAAATCATGGGAAACTAAATATACTTTGAATAATATTTAATAAAATGATATTCTTTTTCATGTAGGTTTAAGTTAGGTATTTAAATAAATGGTTAGTGATTTTGCGTTGAAGAAAAAAGAATTATTTACTTCTTCTTCCTTTTCTTTTATTAGTAGAATGAATGGTTGGGTTCTTTTATTAGTAGAATGGTTGGGTAAACTGCTGACTAGTAAGGTGATCAGTAAATAAATATGTTTTTTTATTTAAAAATTTATTTACACTAATACAAGTAATAAATATCCTTAGAATAATATTAAT